TTTTTATATCACGATTATCAAAACTATTGACATTTTCCAATACAGTAGAACCTCGATAAATCGGACTAATTGGAGCAGACCCCAATGCGAAAAATGCTCAAGTCCGAGAAAAGCGAATACGTATAGGGGTGGGGGTGGGTGGGGAGGTGGAGATAACACAGTTTATCTGAACTGTTCAAGGTTATTAAAAGAAAATTACATTAACAATAAAAAAAAAATATGAAACCACTCTCTGAGTTGAAAATCAGACATTTAAGCCTGGTTGTCACCGAGATGATTGTAATTTACTGTAAAGTGTTATATGCAAGTAACCAAAAAATGAAAAGAGAAAACTGTATACTGTACAGTACTATAAAGATAAAAATAAGAACAAATAAGTGTAGGAGTATATTGTATGTGGAAGACCAGTGTTTGTCTGGAAGCAGCTGGAAGAGGGGAGGGGAAGAGGGTAACACGGGGAGTTGCTCCCTCCCCATCTCTCCCACAAGATTCCTTTGACACTTCTTTATGCAATTCCACCACAATTCTCATATAATTTAGGTTCATTTGATACCAGGTTGAAAAAATATTATCCTAAAAGAATCAACTTTCCCCAAAAAAGAATCCCACACTGAACACCATGAGTGATTTGTTTATAAAGAGCAAACTGCTGATTGGCTTACCACAATGTCTGTCTTCAACACTTAGTAAATTAGTACAGTACAGTTGTGTATTCACCATCACTTAATAAATACTATTGCAGTGTAATTATCACCATTTAATAAATACTATTATAGTGCATTTATCATCACTAATAAGTAATATTGTACAGTGAACCCTCACTTTACGCGGTCAATTGAACCCACGGCGGCCAGCGTAAAGTGAACAACATAACATATGGGATTAATTGAAATAGAGACCGGGCCGACCCCCAAACTCCACTTTTTCAGACAATACCTACATTGTAGTAAAAATAACTTCTTAATTTTATGATGGTATGCACACACAATTAATAATTAAGAGAAATATCAATAATATTAGGTTTTTTAACACTTACATTAGTAGAAAAGATGGCTGGGCACACGGGGATCGGGGGTTGGTTCTGAGGCAGAGGGCAGATTATTGGCCCTCACCTGTATCACTTGTATCAATTGTATCACTATCCACCACAGAGGCTTGCGGGGCCTCTTTATCAAACCCCTCAAAGTCCGTATAAGTCCATATCCTCACTATCATTTTCACTATCACTAACTTGGGCCGGCTGTGGTGGGTGGCGGGTGAAGAACTCGGTAATGTTTTGATGACTGGGCGACCTTGTGCGCAACCTGCTCGCGCCGCTCTCTGCGTAAAAGGGTACACACACCGCGGAAAGTGAGCATTCCGCGTTCAGCAGGGTACCGCGTAAACGTGGAAACGCGTAAAGTGGGACCGCGTAAAGCGAGGGTTGACTGTAGTTTAAAGTATTATGTATCTGCATATACCCTAGTTTATTCATTTATTATTTATGTAAATACAAGTAGCCAAACTGAGTCAACATATCACACTCAAAGGTAGGAATAATGCTTTTAAGAAGGTACCTTCATATCAACTACTATACAGTGTGTTTTAGTGACCCCTGCTGTAAGCTGGTCTACTGAAAGCTCACACGAACACATCTGAGTAAACAACCTTCTGATACAGCTTATCCTTTTATTTTCAAGTCATATTACAAATTACATACAGTAATGTATTTTTCTCTATTACTGAAGATGTTATATTAATCATGATGAACCATAAGAAGCCAATCATATGAGAATATAATAGTGAATCAATAAATAAATAAACCTGACAAATGTGGCAGCACCTGATCAGCCCCAGTCTGCTTACAGACTGTACAGTATTCAGTAAGTGTTGTTCATTTCATCATTTTTTTTTATTTAATCTTTCTTCATTCTTTTTTATTTTGGTGACCAGAGCATCTCAGAGTCTGAAAGAAGCGAATTCCGATTTATTGAGGTTTTATACTGTATACATAGCAATAAATCTATTTATTTCGCGAAGGAAATCAGACAGGAAATATTTCAAATTTAACACCATGGCAAACAAATGCGTTATTTGCTCACCAGAGGCGCCATCATGGCTGCTCACTCCCGCATTCATGCTCGCCTGCACAGTTTTTCTAAGTGAGTGACGAGTAAGCAGCCGACTCTGCAGCAGATTCCAACTTCTAAGGTGAGTGTAAATGGGTTGCTAGTGACGTGAAAACTGAAATGAAGAGAATGGAAAGCTAATGAAAAAGATTTAATACTGTAACTAATATTTATGATTTGTTTGTTTATGTAGGTGTGCGATTATCAAGTGAGGGTGGCAGCGTGACGTCTGTTGCTGAGTCTGGTGTTCCCGGGATGGCGCATCAGCTGCCAAGTCTGGTGTTCCTTAGTCTGGTGTTCATTGGCGCTTTAGTTAGTAAGAAAATAAACTCGTTGTCAAGTTTAGTCACTTTTGTTGGCCTCCAGAACCTAACCCAATTTTCCTCATTGATTACATGTACAGGTACTCCTTGACTTACGACAACCTGGACATACAACCGCCGTAGTCGTATAAAATATTTTTCAAATTACCCTGTACGTATTTTCTTGTTCCGAAACGTTTCCGTCCCGTACGACAGCGTGGGCTGGGCCACCTCGTGGTGTACAGCATCCACGCCGTAGCCCGCTCAGTTGGTGTTTGGCCGGCATTGTTGTTAGTGATCGCGCAGTGTACTGACAAAATTTTTGTTTCTAATTCCCTTTAAAATGGCTGGCAAGCATAAAAGTGAGAGTTCTCGTGGTGCTGATAAGAAAAGGAGACAGTCAATTACTTTTGAGATGAAAATGAAAATAATAATGCAATATGAAAATGGAAAAATGGTTAACAACCATTTCACGCGACCTTGGCTTCTCTCACTCGACGATATCAACAATTTTGAAGGACAATGCAGAGGCATTTGCTACTATTAATAAGGGGATGCAAATGTTTGAAGAAATGGATCAAAATGTTGAGCGTTTTGCAAAAGTTGACAAACTGATCCAAGATGCACTTGCTTGCTACAGGGAGATTTACAATGAAAAGAAAAGACAAACTGTGCAGCCTAAATTGGACCTATATTTTAAGAAGTCCCCCACTGCTGTCTCCTCACGCCCCACCACTCCTGCCTCTTCACTCCCTAAAGATGATCCAATACCTTCAACAAGCAAGTATGTTAGCCTGTCTGAAGAAAGCGAAATTGATGACCCACCCAGCCCTGTTTCCTCCTCTGCTTCATCCAATTAATGTAGTCTCCATGTTTAATTAAAAAACTTTTGAGGCCCCGTGTGCATTCAGCTGACTACATTAAAGGTAAGTGCACAGTAACACTTTGTTCATTTTTCATTTTTGATTACTTTTACTGTATTTCTACGTATTATTTTCGCATTTCCGACTTACGGCCTGGTCGTCGGTCCGGAACCCCGTCGTAAGTTGAGGAGAGACTGTAATTATATATCGTGATTTAGTATATGGCGAACATCCTTGGACCCTATCTCGCGATATATACCGACTCTACTGTACCATATTTTACGGCATATAAGACACACTCGGTACTTGGTCACAATTTTTGTGATGCCTTATGGCAGCAGGGTCTACCCGGAGATTTCCGGGTTTGAGGGATTCCGGCTAACGGAGATATTACTGTACAGGTACTGTATTGTATTTTTTTATTATTTAATATTTTATATAACAGTGAACCCTGCAAGATCCAGGCTAAAAGGGGGGACCACCAGTTGGAAAAAGCCGATTGTCCGAATCTTCCGGCGAATGTACTGAATGTATAAAAACTATAAATGATATCAAAAACACCAAAAATACAGTACATATTATCCTGACCACTGGGGTTAGTTATAAAGAGTTTTTCCTGTGAAAAAAGCCATAATCTTGAGCAACATATTACTGTACTCACTTTGTACTCAAATGTACAGTACTACACTAAAGGACTAAAATTTCTATCTCTTGTGTAAACTATGTGATGTCTATACACAAATTATTTGCTATCTTACAAGGATTCCAGCAATGCAAGTTATTTTCTGCTAAGTTTAGTCTGTGGCATTTTACAAGATAAAAACTTTAAGCGTAAAACCACCCTCACACTGGCTGGGAGGAGGGGGGAAGGCCGAGGAGGTGAGGTGTTGACACAGCTGGCGATGAAGATTGGGAAGGTTACCTAGTGGTATTTATTTATCTGTCATATAGAGGGAGTTTTAAGTTTTTAGCTTATAAAATGTCACTGATTGGTTATGACTAAATTAATGGAACTCATTAAATCATCATTTATCAAGTATAAATCACATGGAATGTCAAGTGGTGGAGTGAATTTCTACATTGATACATTGATACTGTACACCATAATCTCCTGTAAGTAACCAGTGTGAAAGTATCGAACTCTACGGTGAGAAATTAAGAAACACATAATATTATATACCATCCAGACACACAAATCCATGACAAGCATCCAGCCCACTGCCCAGTCACTCGCTCGGCTGCTGCCGAGTTGCCAGATACCTTTGTCTGAACAAATCATAATGAAAACCATGATATAATTTTAAGGCTGATTGTACAGCACAGTACAGGTGTAAGGAAAAATTTCTTCAAACAGAGGGTGGTAGACCTATGGAACAGACTACTAACTTAAGCTGTGGAAGCGAGAACAGTACAGGTACTGGGCTTCAAAATAATCCTTGACAAAACTATTAAGAAACACTTGCCGGTCAAGTATTCCAGTCTAGGGGACCTTAGGACGTGGCATCAATCCAGGATTTGGGAATGGTATGATAACTACTGAATCACCTATCCTTGGTTCTCAGAGCACATATTTCATTTAAAGAGAATGGAGATTTTTAAGATTATCGAGGTTAGCCTCCTCCAGGAAAAATATATAATAGTTATTATATTTTAAGTTTTGTTCCAAAAGACAGTAAGACTGTGGTCGGTTAACCATAAGTACATTTATGACATGCAAGATATCTCACCTCTGCATCCCCAAGTAGCCTTTGCCAGAGTAGGAGAGGAGTAAAGCATATTTCCTTCGTTTTCTTCTAACAGTCTCCCCTCCCTCAACCTCAGATGAAGCATCTAAATTAATGCGTTTCACTTGCGTTTCTGTTCTTTCAGACGCTGATGCTCGCTTCATACTCACTCCTGATTATGGAAAAATGTTTAAAAGACAGACTTTTTCCCACTAAACAAAAATATATAAAATACATGTATTAACTGATAAGGTTGAGTTCACTGATAGGAAACAAAAACTTAAAACAAAATCAAAAAGTATCCAGGCAACTGAGAAAGTAGATAGAAAGTACAGTAATGTCAAGTTTAGGAAATAAAAAGAGAATTAGGAAACTCATGGGAGACAGTGTACCCAGAAAGTCTAAACCATGCAGTCAAGAGAAAAAAAGGGGGGTAACAAGGTACCTGTAGTATTAAATGGTCAAATGGATAGAATGTACTGTACATAACCTCAATGTGTTTCATAATTAGGTGGTGATCGGAATACAGATGACCCCAAGTTACCACTAGCAACTGATCATATCTCAAAGACATTTTAACACGGGTTCAATAAGGTTATTTTTGGTAACAGAAAAATCTACAGAGCCACATGCACAAGTAAGTAAAAGCTGATAACCATTAAAAAGCAATACAATTCTCCAGAACATAAAACACACATTATTGGAAACTTAGATAAATGGGAAATGCATTGAAAACATAAAAAAAAAAAAAAATATTACCATTGAATGGTAAACAGTGAGTACGGTAGTCGTGACCAATCTCACAATTATTGTTCATACAAGAATTGCATGTACAATATGTGTAATTGTGGAAAACTGAACACTCAATGAATATTTCACAACATTTTACATTCTTAAAATGGCATACAAGAGGATGATTTGAATGTGGACAGGGAATATTATCTTTGAGACATGTGACGAGAGAGTTGCATGCCGGAGTGCGGCCAGGAGGCTTAACGGGCAGAAACGGTCAATCATAAAACCCGGAGTGACTGATGGCGTATACTGTAGGTATGACTACATCGTTAAAGCTAATGATCATAACGCGAGACATAGTAACTCAGGAGTGACCTGTATATTCAGAAACAGGTTAATAAAGCAGAAGGATAAAGTATCGTACAAAAAGCATTCTAAATAGAAAGGATATTACTAATTGTGGAGAGTGCAGGACTAGTGATAGTTGAAGGAAATAAGCAGATTCACTAGTGCTAGAAGTATGCAGCAAGTTCAGAGACCATGAACACATTCACGAGAGGGTTGACAGACATGAGTACAGTGCAAACAAAATGTAACACAACTGTGAGTTTTCTAGGGATTTGTTGCAGGTCAATGAACAGTACAGTACTGAGAATAATATATTCTAAGACATAACAGATTAATGTAAATATTAAGAGTTCTAAACTGTAGCTATATGAATGAAATGTAGATGGTTACTTATTAGTGACTCCTACTGTACAAAAGATAACCAGAATATGTATGACAACAAAACTGGTTCAATATGGCAGAAAGTCATTCAGAATCAAATGATATATTGTACCTACAATTCATTTCCATAGAAACATTTCAAATTTTTCTTTTAAACAAAACCAACAAAAACACTAACCTTGACAGAGTGATTCACCATCACCACTATTTTCCTTTGATGATGCCATTAAAATACGTGAGGTCAGCTGACAAAGTCTGGTTGCAGACAAGGAATGTCTTCCTGGCAGCACAGAGTGGTTGAGAAACAAAAGAATCCATTAAGATACATTCTTATATCTGTACCTAGGTAATCCTGGAGGATAAATCTCTGGCTGAGTGCAAAAAGGGCCAATGTCAAAAAATGCCAATTTAGACTTTGGCCCATGAAACCTGGGTTACATGGGCCAAAGTCTAAAGTGGCATTTTTTGACATTGGTCCTTTTTGCTCTCAGCCAGAGAAATGTAAGTAGCTATGGTATATCAAGTTAGCTGCCAATATGAACATTATTCTTTTCATTAAACTGTACCTCACTATTAACTCTATTTCATTGGCCTAATATTTCAACAGCAATGTCTTGGAACATCCTGGCTTCCCCATATATTGAGTAACTGAGTAGCTATAAACTAAACAACTTCAAGTAGTAAATTTAAATACAAATGTATGTAATTTCTTTTCTCCAAATTCAATATGTACTGTAAATTATTCTTTGAGGAAAAGCCTCCTTCCTATGTTACCAATATCATCAATGCTCCTTAGAATATGCATAGATGATTCGAGTACTGTACAGGATAATAGGAGCATATTTGGCCAAGTGCATACATACACATAAATTTAATTTACTATAATGTAAGTAGTAGGCAGCTATCAAACAGGGAGGTACTACCACCTGGGAAGATATTGGAAGCATAATGTGTTGTCTAATGGTAGACCCTGCTGCCATATGGCATCACAAAAATTGTGACCAAGACCCAGGTTGCTCATCTGTTTTTCTGCCTCATTTACACACAATAACACTGGCATGAGTGAGTAATTCCCGCCAGGCATGAGCCAATCACAGTCACCTGTAAGTGTGAATGTCTTCGGCCTGAACCAATAAGAGAGCCGGGGAGACGTGACATCAAGACCATGTGGAGTCTTGTAAACTGCCTGCGGCCTGTGTCTTAGGGCTGAGTCTGTTTTGACATTATGACGTATAGACATGCGTGGGTCATCTTCTCCCATGGCTGGATATACAGTGATATACAGAATCTTCAATTCGGTTAACGAACAGAAATTCAGTTAACGAAATTTTTACGAAATCATGTCAACATGTTTTTGCTTCCTCACCAGCTAGAATATTAGTCCGCCATTACAGTAATCGGTTCTCGGGCTTAAATTCGTTCCCATTTGAGTAAATATCAAGAAGGTTGTATATTAAATAATTTTCCAAGTTTTATATTAAAATTTTTAGTCATTTTAACACTTATTTAACATAATTGCAGTACAGGAAACTAGTTTTTGGTGCGCCAATCAGACACTTGACTCACCCAGCAAGGCGTCAGTGGAGGTAACATCTTGCTTGTGGCTCTCTTGAACATAAACTATTTTTACATTATTTCAGTACAATTATTGGTCATTCTGAAATTTATTTTACATATTGACAATATATAGTGCAGTGTAGTGTTGATTTAAAGAAAATAATCTTGAATTTCACCAAGTGAACTTGAAATTTTATGGGTGAAATGACGACATGAAGCATGGGGTGATTTCTCTTCCACCCCACTGCCTTCTCTTCTCCCTTCTCCTCCACCCCTACTTCTAATTCCCATCATCATCATCAACCAGGAGCCTTCTACATACACACCTCAAAGTAAGTGTACTTTACTGGATTTATTTATACTTTGTATGTAATTTTCGGTGAGCTGGAACCAATTACCCAAAATCCCATTGAAACAATGGTTTCGGTTAACGAACGACCTTCTGGAACGAATTGTGTTCGTTAACCGAGGGACCACTGTATATGTGTGAGTACCCATCAGGTTTTATCCGTTTCACGAAATGTATTATGATTCATGTGACCCCTGTTTAACTAGCTAGGGAGATAGGTTTATTGTTTTGAAATATAGTTGTCAAACCCTAATAGAAAGTATTCAATAAATGCAGTAACTGTTAATAAGAGTCCTAATTCATCCCTCCCTTATTTAGAAAGGTTGATTTGTTATAAGTGTCTTGATGTTATGCAGCAATACAGTGAGCCATTAGAAATAACATAACCTACTGCCTGGTATCCCTGTTTCCAGTTACCACTGGTTACCCCATTATTCCCCAGTTATCCTCTCTCTCCCCTCTGGTGTGAGGGCCTACTGTAGCCCAACCACAAACCAGCCATTACCTCCCTCTCTCTCCTCTCACAACTCTCCTACCTCCTAACCTCACCCTATATCACAAGTACACAGAGAATGAAATAAAGAAAGAAAAGAGAATTAAAGAATAAAGAACGAGTATAAGTAAAGACAAAAGAATAAAAAGGAAAACAAAACCTATTATTGTTACAACACAATTGCAGGGTATCAATTGGATAAGTTTAGGTTCAAGTTGGATAAGTTTAGGCTCAAGTTGGATAAGTTTAGGTTTAGGAGGGAGATAGGAAGAAACTGGTTCACAAATAGGGTGGTGGACGAGTGGAACAAGCTTAGCAACTTTGTAGTAAGTGCAGGAACTCTGGAAAGTTTCAAAAGGAGGCTGGATAGATTCATGGATGATAGAGAGTGGTAGTAACTCTCGACAGGAGCTGCCATGCACAGGCCAACCGGCCTATTGCAGACTCCTTATTTTTCTTATGTTTCTCTTACTTTTGACAACACAACATATATACTGCATATCGTTTCTCACTCGACATTTTTTTCAGTTTTGTATTTATGGTTCTTTATAATTATTATTATTTTATTTTTATTATAATTTTTAATTGTATTTTTTAATTATTATTATTGCTATTATATTTTTGCCCCCAGGCCCCAATGTGGGTCAGTGACCTGTGCCTGGGTGGGCTAATCCCCATAAAAAAAATATTAAGCTAGGTTAGATTAGAATTTTTTTAGGTCTACCTGTATACCTCATACCTAAACAGTATCATAACTGTTACACATTGAGGTGTTGTTTTTCTTATAAAATTTATTCAGAATTTAATCCAATTTTATTTTCCTCGTATCCTTAATTTTGCATGTATTATTTTCAGTTATTTTTTTCTAATAGTTTGAAATTATCATTAAAATATGTAGAATTTTCTGTGGCCAGAAGTACTTTGTGGTTATTCAGCTGGATAGTAGCCAAATATCCCCTGCCATGTTTCTTATTTTATAGGATACAGTTCCTGATTTTCAACTCAATGTCTGCACTAATCCTTTACAATTTGTCCTTGTTACGCAATAGGCTCCAAAATTTCTTCTACATATACAGGACCAGCATCATAGGGTTGAGATTGAATTCCATAATTGGATACCATAGCTATATTTTAATCTGGAGTTGCATTGGATTCAAATTCAGCTGTAAGTTCCTATTGTTATTGTTCTTCCACAAGGGCAGACATTACCTCATGTAGCTACACAATCATCGACTGGAAAATCCATAAGATATCGCAAGCCATCTGTGCTTGTTGATGATCACGACCATGTTAAAGGGAGTACAAGTGTCCAAAATGTGGCAGGGAAATGACATTCAACTGACATTATTTGGGTCCTTCTGCTATTAGGGGGTCCAGGGACAAAGACCCCCCCCCCCCCGGTTAAGAAGTTAGGTTGGTTTGATTAGGATCTGTATGTTCGATAAGGTTCTGTGCATTTTCCTACTGATTTTCTTATTTAGTACCATGCAAATAACATCTCTAGAAATTTGGGTACAATTCCATAAGTTCCTTCGGGTGATAACTGTTTCCTTCACCATTACCAAAGGTATTGTAATAGAGACACAACTACCACCAGAAGGACTTGTTCGAGTTCATTCATTTTTTCCACAGAAGTTCTTATCATTATACCTGTAGTAAGAATTTTAAAAGAGGCGATATTTACCATAACCAAGTAGAACCTGACCTAACCAACCAAAGAAACCTTCCTCACCTTACGTAACTTCCTACTCTCCTCCCCGCCTTATAAAACAGAACCTACTTATTTTGATATCTGATACCAATAAAAGCAACTTTGGTGAAACACCATGGTGAAATTTTACATTTTATGTGGATGTGAGAGTATTCTCAGCTAGAGCGGGTCGATTGAAAACAAACATACAATAAGAGGTGACTTTGCAGTTTTTTAGAGGATTATTTATGGTAAATTATTAATTTCTTCATGTGCAAAGCACAGAGACATCATTTTAGTGCCATATGAGTTTTTCATCGTGTTTTACCCAGCAATTTCCCTCATTTTTTATGTGTTTTACCCAGCAATTTCCCTCATTCTTCATGCTCTGACTATTACAGGGGATTTAGAATCATAGGGAAAACTAAAAAAAAATAGACTTAGTATAATTAAAATAAAAAGTTGTTGCCACTTTTAAAATATCTACTATAAAGATAAGGATAACTGAAGAAAAAATTAATAATATCAAACAACTCCTTCTGGTGGTAGTGATGTTCTCAGACATTACCACATTTTTATCCTTTTTACAAGTTAGGTAAGGTTTTCAAAGGCTTGTTTGGTGTTCCTTTTATTATTTTAGCTTACATTTTTTTCACTACTGCCATTTTGAAGAATCAATATTGTTGGTAATTGGGGAGGTCTTACCGGTTAAAATACTCAAAAAATATATTTGTGCCAAAAATGTAATATACTATATATTATTATTTATTTGCTTTCTCCCAATATAAATAGAAAAATGAAATTCCATGTTCAACCTAAAACAAACCTTTACCTCTAGTTTTGCTAGTAGTTTCCATGAACAACAGAAATATGTTTAGATATGTCTATAGTTACACAACGATCGACTCATGATGAAATAAATGGCAAATGCCACCAGTGTCCCGGTTAAATATAGTTCTCGCGCTATTCACCAGTAATGGACAATTAGCTACCGGTAATCAGAGAGCACTCACGGTAAAACAGCGAGAGAAAGAACTTAGCTGGTCATGGCAAAATATCCACTACTTTGTTCAATATGGCAAGAAGTCTAGGGAGAAGTCTAGGGGGCAGAATCCCCCCCCCCCCCACTAGGAAGTTAGGTAAGGGTAGGTAGTTTCTTTTGTTAGTTAGGTCAGATTCTATAATGATAACATCTGTGGAAAAAATTAAGGTATTATTTTACTTTAGGACATAGTGCACCCCAAAGTTATAAACTACTGAAACATTTAGATCTCCTTATTCTGAGCATCTTGAACCCCATTTATACTAGTCATAAATGGAAAATAGCGACACAATTGAATTTAATCGATTTTACGTACTTTTCAGTCTTTGTGAAGAGATGTTATTTGCGTAAAACCGAGTTAATTATGCATCACGCATGAGCAATATTGACTGACTTCATCCAATTGTGACCAATGATGTATCGATATCATCAAGCGATTTTTTTTTCGACCAATCGCATTTGAATTTCTTCAAAGGAAGCAGCCTGGGTACGGAATTGAATTTCAATGACCAGTGTGACAATGGCCGTGGTGGAGGTTGGTTGTGAATCGTGTTCCTACGATTATTTTAAGTTTATTGCCGAGTTTTATGAGAAAGACGATCATGCTATCCAATTCCTACGTAATCACGGTGTTCTCCCTACATCTGTAAATTGCCTTGTAAATTCCGACGAGGAGGAGGTCGATGACCCTGAAACCTATCCCTGGTCCTTCCACTTCTAACTAAGGTATTGTACTTTCGGACATGGCACTGTCCCAATGTTTTAATCTTCTGAAACATTTAAATCTCCTTATGCCGAGTCTTTTGAACCACATTTATACAAGTTGGAAATGAATAGAATAGGTTAGGTTAGTTTAAGCTAGGCCTACCGGGGGTCCCGGGTCTGAGTCCCCGGCTAGGGTTTAGGTTAAGTTAGGTTAGATGACTCGTTTTTGTGTTCTCCACTACCCAAAACTATTATTGGTGGATCGGGGTGGGGCAAAAATGAGCAGTTTCCGACAAAAATGAAGGTCAGATTCGCTTGAAACACACCAAAATACATTGGAAAAACATAGTGGTCAACCCCTAGGGACTCGTGTCCTAAAGTAAAAATTTACCCATATTAACAAAATCGAATAACTCTTTCTGGTGGTAGCAGTGTTCTCATACATTACCTAACATGAAATTAATATAGTAATACAAAGTTCAAATCCAAATTAGTACCGTAAATGTTAAAAAAAATTCAAGCATTACCCAATATTTGCACCTAATTAATAATCGAACAATATTTAAATATTACAAATACACGGTCAAAATAAATTATACAAATGTAAAATACCTGTAATTTGTACAAGAATGGATAACCACTATCATTAAGACTCAATACTGACTCGGGCGGCGGGCCTTACACAACCAAGATCAACCATTTGACCAAACCTAAACTTTCATCTATACAGGGACAATAATACCTATGCCTAGAATACAAAACAATTACCAGCAATACCAAACCAACCAGTATGGTGATACAATAAGGCTATGTATGTCAGGTTAGGTGTCAGCCCCCGGGAGAGACTCACCAATGTTTACAGCCATGTGTTAGCGGATTTATATATCGAAATCCGGATTAATATCTGATCCTAAATGTGGGACTTACACGGGATCAATTGATTTACTTACAGTTTAAAAATATATATTTTTTTTCTAGCTTCTGTCAACTCTCTGGAGAATATATACGAAAGAGAGTTCTACAAAAAAAGGCGTGATGAGTAACTGATTCTCCTGGCATTATCAGTTCCCTTAGGCGAACGGTCTTCCGTAAACAGAGTCAGTACCAAGGAAAATATATAAGAGGAAGAATGTCTGCCATACTGTACTGGAGGCCTTCCATTAGTCCGTCAACCAGTGCCCAGGCGTTCATAAAAAGGAGAACTATTTTATTTATCTTTTAAGGGTATAAGATGATAGAAAATGAATATTTAGCGAAAACCGCGATATATATATATATATATATATATATATATATATATATATATATATATATATATATATATATATATATATATATATATGCTTACAACCACAAGGAAACAAGAAAACACCCCTGAAGATGTGAATTACACGAAAGCGCTTGGGAACTTCGTGTTTTCTTGTTTCCTTGTGGTTATCAGCATATACTGTACTTGGATCACGCGCACCTACACAGGGAAAGGGTAACAATGGAGCATCCAGGGATATAGAACAAAGGTCAAGGACAAAGTTGGGCCCTTAAAGTCAGGGAGAGGAGGAGTGATAAATGGCAGTGAAGAAATAAGCAAAGCATTGAACAGCTACTTCTTATCAGTTTTTACAGAAGGAATTCCCGAGGAAATTCCAGAGGTGGAACTGATATTTAGGGGAAAGGAAGAAGAGAAATTAAAGAATATCACTATCAGAAAAGAGGATGTTCTTAAGAGGATAAATAAACTAAAGAAGACAAAATCCCCAGGGCCAGATGAAATTTTCCCTAGAGTCTTGAAAGAGTGTAGGGAACAGATTAGCGGACCCCTCGTAAATTTATTTACAAAATCATTAGACACGGGAGTTGTGCCAGACTTGTGGAAACAGGCAAATGTAGTACCCATATTCAAAAAGGGAGACAGAGCATCAGCGTCAAATTACCGGCCGATCAGTTTGACGTCAGTAGTGGGGAAATTTCTTGAATCAATTACACTGCCCTGCATAGTTTTTGAGGTTTGTGTATTATTAAGCTTTTCTGGGTGTATTTTGCATGCTGATCTCAAAAATGTTATCCATTTTGCTCAATCAGGTCAGAATTTTGTGCTATAGCATTTTAAGCGGAGATTCAGGTAATATATTGGCATTTTTCGCTCAAAATGGGGTCCTCATATTCGTTCATTAAAAAAATCATCCGAGACATTGGCAAGCCTCACAGAAAAGATTTCGGTCAGTTTTAATGCCCTTACGATGCATTTAAATACACCCACGTGCTCGCCGGCCATTTAAATGTCCGCCGTGACGCAAAGGAAAAGAGTATATGTCCGTGTTTTTTTACATATATTTTTTCACAATTAAATTTCTTTTTCATCTGGTGGTACATGGCATGTTTCCTCTGTCTGTGGGATAGTCGAGCAGACAAGCAGCACTACATGCAATGTGACTGGCCTGCAAGAAGTGGACTTACTCCAGGTTCTCACAATGTTGTTGCCCATGCTCTGGTGAATCCGCAGAACATTCTTCTTCCGCCACTGCACATCAAGCTCGGTCTGTTCAAAAACTTTGTAAAGGCACTGGACAAAAAAAGCCAGGCTTTCAATTTTCTGAAAGAAAAATTTCCAAAAGTCAGTGAGGCAAAGCTGAATGCAGGAATTTTTGATGGCCCTCAGATCAGAGAGCTTTTCAAAGATCCCAAGTTTGATTGCAGCATGGATGTAAATGAGAAGAAAGCCTGGCATGCCTCTAAGTCTATTGTCTCCAATTTTCTTGGCAACTACAGAAGTCCAGAGTATGAACGAGTTGTTGAGGACCTACTTCTGAGCTACAAAGTTCTTGGTGCACGCATGTCCATCAAGATGCACTTCCTCAGCTCCCACTTGGACTACTTTCCAGAGAACTGTGGTGATGTGAGTGAGGAACAAGGAGAACGCTTCCATCAAGATATCCGTGTAATGGAGGAGCGGTACCAGGGTTGCTGGGATATCAACATGCTCGCCGACTACTGTTGGTGTCTGAAACGGGACGCCCCAGACACCAACCACCAAAGAAATTCTCTGCGACAGCCATTTATGCATGTCTAACTGTAAAGGCATCTATATAGTTGACATATTTTGGTCCTATGTGTTGTGGTTACATTTCTTATGATATATTTTGCATAAAAATTTTGACATCATATTTAAGAATTTCGATTTTTTCCTAATTCCCATAGCATAAAAATCTGACCTAATTGGGCAAAATGAATGGCATTTTTGGAATCAGCACGCAAAATACATAGAGAATCAGCTAAGAAACCCTGCACCTCATGAATTTTTTTTTTCAAATGCAGCCCAGTGTTATAGCAGATAGCATCCGATCGCATTTAGAGAAAAGCAAATTAATCTACGACTCTCAACATGGGTTTACAAAGGGAAAATCTTGTCTAACAAATCTGCTGACGTTTTTTAGGAAAGTCTTCGAGGTAGTACATAATGACGAAAATTACGATGCTATTTACTTAGAATTTAGCAAAACATTTGACAGAGTACCGCATCAGAGGCTTCTGAGATAAATTAAGGCTCATGGTATCAAGGGGAAAGTTTCAAATTGGATAAAATCATGGCTCACCGATAGAACGCAGAGGGTCAGCGTAGATGGTGTTAAATCTGAGTGGGGCCGTGTAACCAGTGGGGTTCCCCAGAGGTCAGAACTAGGCCCACTCTTGTTCACAATCTACATAAACGATCTAGATACTGGGATCATCAGTGACATAAACAAGTTTGCGGATGACACCAAAATAGGGCGGCAGATTAATTCAGGGCAGGATGCATTACAGGAGGATCTAAATAAACTGCAGGAGTGGTCTGAAAAATGGCAAATGAAATTCAACACCAGCAAGTGCAGCGTACTTAATATCTGAAGAACAAATACTGTCAGTGTATACAGCCTTAACAACATCAACCTAGAGAAGTCGACTTGTGAAAGAGACCTAGGGGTACTTGTAAGCCCGGACCTACGGCCTAGAAAATAGTGCGCTAATGTTCGAAATAAGGCAAACAGAGTATTAGGTTTTATATCTAGAAGTGTAAGTAATAAGAGTGCAGAGGTCTTATTGCAACTATATCTTGCACTAGTCAGGCCGCACCTCGATTATGCGGTTCAGTTCTGGTGCCCTTATTATAGAATGGATATCAATTCACTAGAGTCCGTGCAGCGAAGAATGACGAAAATGATTCCGGGGCTTAGAAACCTTCCATATCAGGATAGGTTAAAGAAACTAAACTTGCATTCCCTAGAAAGACGAAGAGTGCGGGGAGATATGATAGAAGTATTTAAGTGGGTGAAAGGAATCAATAAAGGGGATATGGATAAAGTTCTTATAATATCCGAGCAGGATAGGACTCGGAGCAACGGATTTAAGTTGGATAAGTTTAGGTTTAGGAGGGAGATAGGAAGGAACTGGCTCACAAATAGGGTGGTGGACGAGTGGAACAAGCTTAGCAACTTTGTAGTAAGTGCTGGAACGCTGGAAAGTTTCAAAAGGATGCTGGATAGATTCATGGATGATAGAGAGTAGTAGTAACTCTCGACAGGAGCTGCCATGCAGAGGCCAACCAGCCTATTGCAGACTCCTTATTTTCTTATGTTCTTATGTTCTTATGTTCTTTTGTCTTTATTCAAGACATCTTCAGAGGCAACTGAATTACATGGACAGAGAGAGGCTTAAGTACACAGGGTGACCTTACTAAACATGAGGTCAGGTCATAAACATGACATCCACTAATCCGCACACTAACACACACGCAAAGGAGCTTAAGAGAAAGGGCGACGTGACTAGTTAAGTTAAGTCAGGTAAAAAATATGGGACCCACTAATCATCTATCCTACATCTAACTCAAATGCTTTAAAAGCTTTTTTAACCTTGGGCCAGTGACAAATAAATTTGTGTAACATATTATCATTTTTGTAGTGACCATCACTAAGGTTTATAGAATTCAATTCCCTAATCAAACTAGCTTCAACCAGAAGTCTTTCCGTGACACATGATGATTTGTACACTTATAAGCTGTTTTTCCAATCCATGGGATGATTATTGTTCCTAACATGAACGAACAGTGCACTGCTTTCAGATGCTGTTCTGATATTGTACTTGTGCTGTTTAATTCGGAGTTGCAATGCTTTCCCAGTCTGTCCTACATAATTTCCATTACAGTTACTACATGGAATGCAGTAAACACTTCCATTTACATTCAAAGTTGGGCTATTCTTGAATAATATATAGGGAAGGGACTTACTTATTGTCGGGTGTATCTACAGATCCCCAAACTGTGGCCCACTAAATCAAAGGAACTTAAGAGCCTTAATAGACAACGCGGCAAGGCTCAACCCTAGCCACCTCCTTATCATGGGGGACTTTAACTATGGCGACATCGACTGGAGAAACGAGTTCACCCCAAATGACTTAAATAACCCTGTTACTCTTTTTGTAGAAACTCTGAGAGATAATTTTCAGTTCCAACATGTTAGAGGGGAAAGGTCACGGCAGGGTTAGCTCCCGAGGGATAATTATCAGATATGACCAGTGCTATGTGTGGTCTGGGGTCTGCGAGTTTGCTGCCCAAGCTGGAGTGGACCATGGAAGAATTGGAGAGAGCCAAGGAAGAAATAGAGAGGGCCACGTTGGAGAACCTGAAATTAAAAGAAGAGATGTCGAGGATGAAGGGGGAGGCGGGACAGGGAAAGCCAGTGTCTGACGAAAATTCAAGCGAGTGGAAGGTTGTAAGGAGAGGGAAGACCAAACTGGTGATGAAAAAACACACCAAGGATATGTCAACAACGACATCAGCAGCTAAGTGTACCAACTCGTTCAGTCCCTTGATAGGCGAATTGGAC